AGAAACAAGGGGCAGCTTCTGTGACAACATGTGTTTAAAACCACGTCCTCGGTACGTGCGTGTATGCCAGTGATGGAATGAGAGAACAGCACACTCATCCAAAGTAAAATCTGCTCCAGGCTAAAGCACAGAGGGCTATTCTTGAGGCTTCCCCTCTCCAAAACAAACAGGAGCATTCCTTGTTTTCCCCTGTTTATTTAAAAAGCCCACCGCACATTCCTGGGCACCGGCATATCCCGAGCCAACCATGGGATGAGAGCGTCTACACTGTAAATCCCAGGAAGAAATTGGTCTAACTTGGAAAAGGCCTAACAATTGCTACCTTCTGATGGTTGCTTAGTGGTCTGCAAAGTGCACCACAAATCTCAAGAGACTTGTTTTCACATCATTAAAGCCACCCTCAGAATTGGCCTCTGCGCTGACCGTTTCAGCGTAAAAACCAAAGGGCCGTCCAGAGAGCTGCCGCAGGAGCACGTCAGAGGCACACAGCCACGCTGAGCAGGTCCATCCGAGCCATACCTGCTCAGAGAACATGAACTCCCAGGCTCAGGAACTTCTCCCCAGCCACGCCTCACCTCCTTAAATCTTTGTTCCCACAGGGTATGAAAACACTGTTGAGGCAACCATCAGAGACGCCCTGGTCGACTCATCAAGAAGGGGGGCACCACCATTATGCCTCAGGGTTGCAGCAAAGCCATTTTAAAGCTCCTAGAGAAAGAAGATTAGAGAAATGGAAGCAGCAGCACAAGCAAGTTCGTGTCCAGGTAGCACCAGGGAAGAAGTCTGGTGTTACCTCTGACGTCTAGTCACCGTAAGGCATTGCAGTGCCGTCCGTCACTCTGTAACTTTACCAGGAAGGAGCCCTGCAACACCATCTAAGCCTTTAAATGTGGAGCACAGCAGTGTTTGAGAGCAGAGTGTTCGTTTCTCCACGATGAATGAGAGCAAATAAGTTTTCTGTGTGGGATAGGGCAATTGGACATGGCATTTTAGGGATCACATGAAGAATTTCTGAATTAGAAATCAAGCACTTAGGTATAGCTTTCCCGATCGTATTTTCTACTCCAGGCAGACAGAGAAGAAAACAACCAACCCTGTATCTCCACAGCAGTAAACTTTCAGTCTCCCATACACATGTGAAAGAATTGCCTGGGAAACAAGCACACAACAATGCTGTGGTCAGAGTTTAAAACCGAAATCCACTTCAACCAGAAAGCTGCAGGTTGCTTTTGCCCTTTTCATGAAGGAGCTAAATTCAGTGGCACACAGTAGACAGAGCTGCCCAGCAGAGCCTCCCCCTTATTTGTTATTTTTAGCAATTTAGTCTGACAACGCCTGACAACTAAACATGCTGAATATAGCAGGAGAGAAGGGGACTATCAGATATTATGAGAGAAAACACACAGCGATAATCACTTTCTCCACCCCTAACGAAGAATCAATTTTCCATGTCTTTATAAACATCATAGAGTTTGTTCTTTTTAAAATGCCACATTTAAAAACAGAATCCATCTAGCCCTACAATGGAAACGGATAACATTTCCTGAAACAAAGCATTGTTCCACCCCTCACATATCATGTTTCCTTAAAAACAAGGGAAGAAAAACATTACTTGTTTTTTCTCCTAATACTGCACAAACATTGCTGAGCTAAAAAGAGTCTGTGCTCATCCCTTTAGAATGCTTTCAAAATAGATTCAACACATACCCCTCATACTGTGAAACACAACAAGAATTTGATAGTATCAGGACTGGAAAAATCCAATCGCTACTGCTAAGCAGGATGCTTCCCGTGCCAGTATGTGCGTGAGCCTATGTCATCAGTCTCTGCAAGATTCAAGCAGGTTTTTGTAAGCCTCAGTGGCAAAGCCTTTAAGCAGGCATATGTATTTTGCCAGCAAGCCTGGACAGTCTATTTGGCTTCCAAAGGATTATATACAATATATATATTCATGTTCATACCTTAGCTTTAACAAGAAAGATAAAGCTACCTTGCTTTTTCTGCAGAGTAACTGACAGGCTATGCATTTGCCCCCCTGTACACATCCATACCCCTTTGGTGTTTTCAGAACACAGTTCCTCTCACTAAGTACATCCAATGTGTATTCTAGCCAAGCCTTATTTTTATAGCCCTGTACAAAGACAGGTCTGGTTCTCCTTGCTGCTTTGCCATGTGATGAGCAACAGGGAGGACCAAACTAGCAGTATCACATCAGTTTTGTGATGCTGCCTTGAAAAAGGCAATGCACCGTTCAACAGCAGAGGAACCCAAGAGAGGAGAGTGAGTGACAGAGAATAACTGCAATCATGCATTTCAATGGAGACTATCAGAGGAGGGAGAAAAGAAGCTTTCAAACCAGACACAAAATCCCTCACTGTTTCCAAAGTTCACTCTGACAACTGTGAACGTCAGGAAACTCAGCTCACATCTCTGAAGCAGGTTAAAGCCCACATTTTCACGTATAGTCAGCACTCAGGAGCTCTCCTTGCTATGCAGCTGGATGGATCTACAGAAGAGCTCAGCAGTGCAACCAGCCTCTGTACTGTGCTCTTCTGCAAATAGCACCAAGCTAGCAGCGAGAGCATTTCTCAGATTCAGGCTTGTATCAAAAATACACATTTCGCAATGCCTTGGCAATAGTGTCATAATAGCAAGGCATAATTTTCTCAAGCTCACGCTACATGAGTAACCGAATCAGCCACACCATATGGATGCTGGAGGATTACTCTGACTAGCTTGATTCAACTATGCAAAGTGAGAAATGTAAGTAAGTAATAAGGTAGTTAACAATGTAAAATATAAACCTAAGCTTTAAAATCTTTCCAGTTTTACGGATGGAGGGAAGTTTTAACCTATCTTGGTTTGATATTTATTTTACAATGATGCAGTGGAAGCACAAGGTCACAAAGTTTCACATTCTTTCCTGCTTCTGTCACAACTTGTTTTCAGAATGGCAAAATCCCCTACTCCTGTGATAAATGCTCTCTGAATTGGACTCAGGTATTTCCCCTGAAATCTCTGTTTCCAGCAGTTGTCAGCGTAAGAGCTTGTCCTTTTACATGGGGAATCCCAAGCCTAAGGAAAATCCTTTTCACAAAACTGCCAGCCAGCTGAAACCAGAGTAGTTAAAAGATGGACTCGAATGTTCATTTAAAACAAACTGTTGAAAATTTTAGCAATCTGAGCCCTACTATCCATGGTTAAAAAGAAAAACCAACCCATGTGGCACAACCACCTTTCCATTCCCACCACCTTTTGAGACAGTCACTATTGCTGGGGACTTCAATTCAGTGGCCATAACCAGAGACTCAAGCAACAGGGAGCTACAAAGCAGAAAAACACATTTGTGAAGCAGCCAGCTCTGAGGCTTTGTGTAAGAACGGCAGAGGTTATAATTTGGGAGGAATTCCATCCATTCTGCTGAACTCAGCAACTGGAAAGTTCAGGGAGTAAGATCACTCCCCAGCAGGCACAGAAAGAACCAGAGATGCACAGCTGAAGGGCACAGTAGCCAAAAAGCTGACCAAAGCCCAATAGACCTGGCAGTAAGGGACCAATGGAGTTTGTAAACAGAGGCTGTCAACCACACTCCAATCACTTCCAAATCCAGACGTGCTGCTGTGAAGTTCTCCAACCCCAGTCGCAAGGCTGTCTGCGCAAACCACTGGCATCTGGGACGGCTCCAAAGTAGACAGGATACAATCACTTTTATCACATAACCATAAAAATGACCATGCCTTGTCTGCATTAACACCATCTTAAATATATAGCCCATCCATGAAGTACTTGTTTTCCCTGTGCAGAAAAAGTTCTCATGGCCAGAAACACAAAACCCCTTAGTATCTGGCACAGAAAACACTCCAGGCAGCATAATATACGGTGATGTGCTTGCCCTACAGCTCCCCAGGCAAGCTGAGTTTTAAGAAGGAATTAAAAAAAAAAAATTACAAACTCTACTTCTGTTTTAGTGTAAGTAGGAGACAATGGAGACAGAACTGCACAGGTTTGAGCACCGAATTCCTATTCCTGTTTGTCCCTACTTAGCTGGTCTCCACACTCACTTTCTCCAAAACACTAACAGATGAGATAAGCAGCTTGACACAACTCAGTCTTTGCTTTCTCTGTCATTCCCCAAAAACCAAGGAACAGGGTTTTGTATTAATTATATTTTAGGGACATTAAGAAAAAAAAATACACTAACAGCCTTGGAAAAATACATTTCAAATATCTCCGAAGAACCGTAAGCTGTACATGTAGCCACCAGAAGATAGTCAAGATTCATTAGATAACTTATTTGAACACTGGAACTTGTGCAGACACTACTTTACATTTCCTAGATATTCTTCTCTGCCTTGAATACTCCAACCAGATAAACCTAAGAACACAGAAGTGCTCTGACCACATCATCAAAACAAAGTCCCATCTCCCCCTAGATCCAGTCTTCAACAGCTGCCACAAGTAGATGCCTAAGGCAGAGTGTAAGGACAGGGCAGACGTATATGGGACTTCCTCCTCATACTTTCCCAGCCTCCAGACATTTTTAGCTCAGGGACTTCCTGAGCAGGATGCCATTTCTACATATTTGGTAATTCTCAAAGGATTTCTCTTCTATGAATTTGTGCAATTGTCCTGAGCCAGTGCAAACTTTTAATATCCACAGCACTGGCAAAGTTTCACATCACCTATCTGCTGCATATAACCACACAACCATCCTTTTGCTAGCTTTAAACCTTCCTCCTACTAATCTCATTTGAATCCCTCACACTCAGTTTTCATATCAGGACAGAGAGCAAACAATCAGTCCCTAATGGGGTTGTAGATCTAGCAAAGAAACCAAGTGACATGAATTACTTGTCGGTTACTTGTAACAGGTGCTATGTTTCACCTAGTTACAATCCTTCAGAATGAAAAGTAACAGATAAAAACAAGCGATGTAGCAAACAGCATCTTGTTGACCTTCAATGTTCTACTTTCATCATCGTTACCTGACAAAAACTTACCTCTAATTCCTTAATTTTCTCTTCGGCTATTCTCTGTTTTTCTAAGAGCTGATTATGAATCACTCCTTTAGACTGAAGGATAAACCTAGAAGTGAAAAAGAAGAGACAGACAACTGTTGGATATTTTTTACATCTGTTGTACTCCTAGCTGCACACCGGGTTAAACTACAGGGACCTCTGCAAAGTATTCATCCTCAACCTGCGCGTTCTTGACAGAGGAAGACATTGCTCTTGCTATGACAGCTCACACAAACCACCGGGCTGGCCTCAAAGTCTTGGTCACTAATCTCACCCATGATTTGGGAGGAAGAAAACGGATGCACACAGATCTCCCTCTATCATTCAGCGATTTCTAACATTTCAGAATGATTTGAAAGCAGTTCTTGCACACAGCTAGCAAGGGGAGTCCATCATGACATTCCCTTCAAAGGGATATAAATTCGTTGATGCCATATACTCAAGGAAGCCTCTTTCAACAGATAAAACCATCCATTACCATTTTAGTGCTCACAAGCTAAACAAACCTGCACAATAAAAACAAAGCTTTCTACAGAGAAAGGCTGAGAGAGCTGGGGCTGTTCGGCCTGGAGAAGAGAAGGCTCCAGGGAGACCTTACTGCGGCCTTTCAATATATAAAAGGGGCTTATAAGAAAGACAGAGAGACTTTTTACCAGGGCCTGCAGTGATGGGACAAGGGGCAAGGGTTTTAAACTGAAAGGGGGCAGGGTTCGATTGGACATAAGGAAGAAATGTTTTATGCTGAGGGCGGTGAGACACTGGGACAGGTTGCCCAGAGGAGTTGTGGATGCTCCACCCTTGGAATTGTTCAAGGTCAGGTTGGACAGGGCTCTGAGCAACCTGATCTAGTGGAAGGTGTTCCTGCCCATGGCAGGGGGTTGGGACTGGATGGTCTGTGAAGGTCCCTTCCAACCCAAACCCTTCTGTGATTCCATGGCTGGTGAAATCCCCCTGATCAGGAGATCGGAGCAACGTGTGGGTCAGCAGGAATGGGGGCGCGACCATTGGA